CTTCATTTCTTGTAATCGTCGTACTTTATTGTGAACATCTCTGCTTACCCCTCTCGTTTTTATGTGCCAATTTTTCGTACTCCTGCAATGAATAAATGGAAATCACTTTTCAATGTAAAAAGATATTACATTATTAACTGGTGATGGGGTATTAATGTTCCATAATAGGCTCTCTTTTTCTTTTTCAAACAAAAGTGCTCTGTTTTTTGTGGATTTTCATCTTAAAAAGTGTTGCCAAAACTTGTTTATTTACCCAAGTTATGAATTCTTGTTTTGTAGGATTCGAAGGAGAATGGACAATTTCATCTTTCCCACCTTCTTTTAATGGTTTGGCAGTTTTCTTAGTAACCCTTATATCATCATTCCATGACTTGCAGATTTGTCGGCCATAGCGAGGAACTTTGCGTAGAAGAGCTCAGAAGGTTTGCAGCTAGAGGAGCGCTTTCAAATCCGGATCCGACCTGGGACCTAACGTTCGGACCCGATCTGGGTCCTGGTATAGGTTCAAGAATTGGATCCGGTGGGTCGGGTCTGGGTCCAAATAACGGGTCTGGTTCATGTAGACCTGACCCGAATAGTGATACTATATAAATACTGTTTAATATAATATTTTAATAATATTTAATTAATATGTACATAAATATAACCATATTGTTTTAGTATATTATTGAAATAATACAGGTATATATTTAACATAACATTGAAATATATTTAAAGCTTTTTTTTTTTGTTTGGGTCGGTTTGGGTTTGGGTCTAATAACTTTAGGTTTGGTTAAGTCTGGGTCCCATCCCTGTGTCTCTGAGGGTTCCACTACTGACTTAGTGGAGCTAGGTTCTTGATTCTGTTGAGGAGTTGGATGAGTTGTAACACATTCATGGGTTTAGATGGTTTGCCAAGGGAAATCAAACTGCTGGTTTCCTTATGATTTCAAAGGCTCAGGAAAAATATCTGGATGAAGCTTCTGTGGTCCGATGCCAAAATGGGAACTTTTGACAGGACGTTTTTTTTTTTGAAACTAACTCTTTTGGTAGGCTTTACAATTTGAGATTCGTATATTGGCTACCAAAAATTGACCTTAAGGGTTATCCTTGGCTAAGTTTTGATAGGCCTCTTGCGGTGGATGGTGGAATGAAAGATCCTCTCTTTCCACAATGAACTAGGGAGTCCTAGAAATTTTGACCAAACCATTAAGTAGTTAGTGATAAAGTTTTCTCCACTAAGTTTGAAGATGGTGGCACTTTTTACTTCCTCTTGCCAAGGAGGCTTTGAGTTGGGGGCATCAAGATTTATGGTGGAGTTTACTAGTCCTGAGTAGTCTAGTTTTTCAGTCTTCTTGATTTATTTGTGTTGAGTCTCTTTCTTTTGATTAGTGGTCTTGCAGAAAGGCTTTTTAGGTGTTTCGTTAGGCTTAGGCATTTGCAGCCTACTGGCCTTTGTTAATAACATGGAAATATTCTTCTGATTTTCTATAATACTTGAGACAGCCATTGTCAGGGATAAATATGGACTTTTTATTAGTACTTAGTGACCAGTTAAGTCAAGGGAGATTGAGGGCATTTATGTCATTGACTTGGTTAAAAGAGGAAACAAAGCAATACAGCTCTCAAGGTCATTTTAATATGTAGACAAAGAGGAGAGCAAATATTTTGGTATCTTCTGGTACAATTCACTGCAGAATATACAAATATCAATTATTTACTGACCAACAAAATGGGGGACAGTCTGCAAATGGTAATGTAGGCCATTATTTGCATGTAAAAGTATCCCAATTAGGCCTTCAACTGCGATATAATGAGACACATTAGGGTGATGTTACAAATACATCACCGTTACATTTATGACTATTTGGACAGATATCTTGTACCAAACACACAACACTAAATTAATTCCTGGAATCTTTCCTTGTATAACGTATCCATAAGATATAAATCCAATTTCATGGTTTTAAACTCTCTCTTCCAAAGCCATTCTGGTCTTTTTCATCTTTCTCCTTTCCAAATCCATTCTGAACTTTTGAGACTTCTAATTCCAATTTGGTGATTATTTGTTTCAGTCTCTCTCCCCAAGTGCTGCAGGTGTCATCGTAAGAGTGTCCTCCCAACTTCCGTCTTCAACATTTCAAGTAGAAAAGAGTTCCAGCTATCTATTGGACCCGGAAGGCACCAGTGCACACAATCATTGTACAATGGCACATTCTCTTGAGGCCAGTGCCCGAACCTACTGGGGTGGCCATCAGGCCTCATTAACATAGCCTGGGTAGTGTCAATAACTCTAAATTTGTGCCCTCTCTCTCGAGCCACTCTTTCTGCATCTCTAAACTCCTCAATTTGGATCATGTACAACTCCATGCTCATCCCCTCTAACATTGTCTCATTGCTCTTGACAGGTTTGGTTCTTATACAGTTCCCACCTTCATTCCAAAGACCACCCTCAAAGTGCGCAGGGGGCAAAGGTCCTCAAGAAAGTTGTACCCTTGAAATTTTGTAGCCCATTAATGGCTTTGAATGCTGTTCTGAAGGCTCTTCTATAGGCATAGTATATGCCCAAGTCTGTGATATTCTTCTGTTTGCAATAGAAGCACCCAACGACTTTGCCTTGCTCATAGAAGACCATAGGTCGAACGAACCAATGGCCGGCAGATATGATGACATAGTCAAATCCTTCGATCTGGGCTGTCCAATTGTCATCAAAGGTATCGAGATGGAGGTTAAATAGCCCTGTGTGCATGGGGCCCAAAGGGTCAGCTTCCATAGATTTGACAAGGTAAGGGGACCAAAAGGCAGCAATGGTGAAATTGTAGGTGGTGTAGAACCAACGCCTGAACCTCTCGTCACTGACAATGGAGGCGTCCACAGGGTACTCCACCTAGAGATGTTAGAAGTTAAGAATGGTTATCAGAGATAGAGAGAGGTAGTAGTCACAAGCAACATGAATGCCTTTGCATAGTGATAGTCATCCAAGAAAGTTCAAATATGGTGAAATTGATGAACCAAAGAATCCCACGCGAACATGCGCTAGGGAGTATTGCTGTAGTTTCCCGTAGAACAGAAATAGTGTCGCATCCCATTGTCTTTCTCCATTCATTTGGTCAGTCAAGCTTGCTAAAATAAAACTTAAAATCACCTGGCTATCTTGCTGGAGATCTCTGCAAGCTCTGGCCAAAATGTCTTGAAAAATGGAACAGGAGGATTCTATTTCGATCCTCCTAATGGAAGATTAAATGGTTTCTTTTAATTCAATATTTTGAATATGTACACATGCTTCCTAGCAAAAATTTCTACTTAGGTGTTTTATATGAAATTAAGATTTTAGTATATGGGGGAGTGTTAGATGCTCGACTTGTTCAGCTACGATACATGATCAAGCCTGCCAAAATAATAGTTAGGAAGATTCTTTTTTTATCGGAAAATATTTTAGATCACGTTTAGTCACTCCAAAAATCAATTCTATAAAAAGAAAGGGAGTTTTGTAAGGGCTCTTTTCTGCTGTCTTGATTGAAGCACCGAAAGCCATCGATTTGGTGGACGGCACTTCCTGCTCCAACAGCTATTACTGTCCGTTTGTATAGCAAGCAGATATACCATTGTAAGAGTCCAAAATGTGGTTTTTCTTAATTTGGATTTGATCACAAGGTGAAATTGAATATTTTTGAAAAAAATTCAAAAATTCAGTTTTGTGGGCTTTGGTCAACATAGGAGAAATGGACAACGCCATTAATAGGTAGTTCTCCCCTAAAAAAAAAGAATTGATTTTAATCTCATTGATCTAAATCAATGGCCCTCAAATGTAGATTATGAATCAAAGGACAATTGATTAGGGTTGTAAGACCTCTCCATAAATATGGACTGTATATCATCATCATCCAAGCTTTATCCAAATCCAAGCTTTATCCAAACTATTTGAGGTCGGCTGAACATTTCTTTTTCATAATACGTTGGTTTTTTTTAATATCATCTACATTGTTAGTTGCATTGCATGTATATTTTGTTCAATGTACTGTTTCTACATGCCAATCAAAATACGGATACACGTGATTAGTTTTTAATAAACATGGTTGGCGGGGAGTCGGGGAGTCGGATTACAGTTGATTTATCTCTTAGCCTGTCGCCTGTCAAGTGTGTTAGGTATATAATCCCAAACAACACGGTCAAAAGAAACAGTGATAAACAAAGCTAACTTCATCCTCATATGCTCACCATCCTTTCGGATATACAAAATTCTCTCTCATTGTTGGAAAAACCGGCCGTTCTGACCGGTAACTGCCCGGTTAGATTGGAATCTGCCACTGGTCGGTATTGATGATCAACCAGGTATTTTTAAAAAATAAAATCTAAAATTTATAAAATTCTAAAAAATTCTAAAAAATAAGGGATTTTGTTTGTAATGTATTTTTTAAAACATATTTTTATCAATATGGCAAAAATTAGCAATTGTTTTGGTCATTAATATTTATTTTTACGTTTTTCCATCTTTTTTAAAAAATTTCAAAAATACCACTGGGTAAAAATCCATTATTTAAAATTCATTTTTTTAATTAAATTTCAACTTCATTTGGATGTGCTTTGTTTAATCATTATTTAGATATACTTTTCATATTGTATTAGGTTTGTTTTTGTATTTTTTTTAACATTTGTTTAACCGGATAGGATTTGCCCAATTAGAACAGTTGAACCTGCAGGTTTACTGGTTAGGCCGGTTGAACCGCTTCCAAGCCATGTCCAGTTGTCCGGTTAACCGTTCCGATTCGATTTTTCTAACACTGCTCTCTCTCTCATATTGGTACCTTTGAAATTTGAATAATTTGACATGTTGGTGCCTCTCTCTCTCTCTCCGTCGTGTTGGTACCTCTCTATCTTCTGGAAATTTGAATTCTTCACATGTTTGTATCTCTCTTTCTCTCTGATTTTGGTAAATCTTTTCAATCTGAAATTTGGATACTTACTGGACGTGAAGGTATCATGATAGTTTAGATTATTGAATGTGAATTTAGTTTCTTTGTTTATATTTGTTCACTCTCTTTGGGGGATTAGGTCTTCTGCTTCACAACCTAATTTGGTTTCCTCGTAGGAATGGAATCTTTTTGCCCTTTACCATTTATTCATTTAAATTTGAAAGTGAAAGTAATGCTACACGTGTGTCTAGGAACATGGTAAGCATAAAACGTTTTGAATATTATTCTTTCCTGCAATGCTACAAAATAAGGATGGGTTTCTGAGTCGGCCAACTCATTTGTACACATGTGGCCCCCTCTAAAATTCATTTTAGATATGGTTTTTTTTTCTCTAATTTTTTTATGAATTTATCATTTAGCCAATTTGATCATGAATATGAAAAGAAAAATCAAATTTTAAAATTAAAAAATATATTATTTTGGTATTTTTTGGTGCTGGGTTACCCATCCTTTTTCCATAAAATAATAAGGATGGGTAACCCAGCAACCTACCAATGACTAAAAATGAAAAGAAAAGGTAAGCAAAGAGAGCCAGGTTTGACAAATCCTAAACAAAGCAAGTGCCATACTGGCAGGATACCGTTTCAAGGAATTGGACTAAATAAGAGAGAAGTACAGCACGCCCTAGAGTAATGATACTAAATAAGAGATATAAGTACAGCACGCCTAAAGTAATGGTGATTTAGGATTAAGAAAGATATGAGGTATAATCTCCGCTGCGGGAGCATATTGTACATTTACTTCCTTCCATAGGAATGTTCAAGTGTATTTCTCAAATTAAAAATTTAGGATCTACTTTAGAATAACCAGATAAGTATTTTCAAGAAATAAAAAAGAAAAAACTTAATTGAGTTTGCTAGAGGTGTGTATTTAGGTGTTTAGTATCTCGTTATGTAAGTGTAGGACCTCTCCCTCTCTCTCTCTCTCTCTATCTCACACACACATTCACACACAGTGAAAAGGCAGCTCTTTCAACCTAAGAACTAACACACAAACATACAGGCAATAACTTTTGAACCAAGGAGTTAAATGGAATAGTTGAAAGGTCCTTTTCAAAGCAAAATTATAGAAGCTTCTCTAGCAACTGCTGGGGGCCTAACACCTAAAAAAGGACTCGATGAGTAAAGCAAAAGGAACACACAATCTATTCAAAATAAACATATCATCCTACTCACACGTGTATGCTCTCTCACACGCATGCAAATGTTGTATGCATGTGCATCTGCACATATGCATTCGCATTTCTGTATCAGAGAGAGAGAGAGAGAGAGAGAGAGAGATTCTGTGTGTTTGTGTTCTTTCCTGGCTTACTATCCAACAAACCAACAAAAGTGACACAAAAAGTGCAGATTACTTAGAATGTGAGGCCTTGGTTGAGGCTAAGGCTTACCCTGGACAAGAGGCAAATCAAGGACTGCATATGGTTCCTCGCAACCGAGTCGCCCACGAAAGCTATGGACTTCCCTCTCACAGTCTCGAAAAACTCCGACGGATTGAACTCCGGCATCTCGCACTCATCTGGTCTCCACTTCCATTTCATGAACCCAGTGTCTGGCCTTCCATATTTCATGCAATTTTGTTGATCATGAATGGCCCAACATGTGGTGTTGGTGTAATAAGGGGCCTTTGGGTCAGGAACCCATTCTCCTGTAAATATATCACAACTTCTACTGGTTTCTTTAAAGGCCCCAAGATCGTTAGCAGTAGAATCTCTTATGTTGTTGCCCCAAAGAGTAGAATTTATCAAAAGGAAAGAAGGAATTTTGATACAGAAGGAGAGAGGAATGACAGCAAAGAGAATAAGGATTGATGACAGTAAGAGTGCAGCTCTTTTTGGGGCCTTTGAGAAATAATTCCCAATTAGGGTTTCTAAGGAATGGAGATTCATGGCTGTAGGAGTTTGAAGCCCTTGGGACCTGCAAGGGCAGGACACAAGGAATGGATATATATGCCACACATATTATTAAACAATACCATGGTCTTTGGGGGCTCACCACTTTTCTTGTTTTAATTTTTTTTTTAGTAGTTTACATTTTGGTGGGGAAGGGGGTAAATGGACATTAATGTCCCGAGGATTCAAAATAAGTTAGTTTCGATAGCAAGATGTTCCTCTCAATTAATTTATTTTATCACAATTTTTTAAAAAGATTATTTTTAAGTTTAAAATTAAGAAAAATATCTCAATATCCTCTATTTTTAAGTTTCATATCTCCGTACACCCAAAGATTAAACACATATCTTAGGTTATAAAAATCCTATGTTTTATATCTTTTAATACCCTATCTAACTTTACCCTCTTCAATCCTATTTTTTTTATCCAAACAAATTATAGAATGACAACTCTTTCTAAACTCATCTTAGCTCTCTTCACATGTATCTCCCGGACTTTTCCCTCTTTCTTTTTCCCCACCAGAGTGACCCCAAACACTTTCTCTATCCGTATTAGCTCTCCCTCAAAAATAGGTTTATTAGATGCATGACCCCCACCTACTCGTCTCTCTCCCTCAAGAGGTATAATTGTTTAGAAAGGTGCATAGAATCACTCTACCATCATTTCCATTGATCTCTCTCTAAAAAAAAAAAGTGCATAATATCACTGCATCACTATTGCCGTTGATCTCCTCTCTAAAAAAATGTGCATAATATCATTGTAACACCATTGCTATTGATATCCTCTCTAAAACGAAGTGCATAAAATCACTGTACCACCATTTCCATTAATTTCTCTCTCCGCCTGTGACTGACTCCAAGTGTTTTCTCTCTCTGTACTACCTCTCTCTCTAAAATAGGTTTATTAGATGCATGACCCCACCTCGTCTTCTCTCTCTCTCTTAATAGGTGTAATTGTTTAGAAAAGTGCCTGGAATCACTGTAACATCATTACCATTGATCTCTCTCTAAAAGTGAGTGCATAATATCACTGTACCACCATTGCCATTGATCTCCTCTCTAAAAAAAAGTGCATAATATCACTGTACCACCATGGCCATTGATCTCATCTCTAAAACGAAGTGCATAAAATCAGTGTAGCACCATTTCCATTAATTTCTCTCTCTCCCCTGTGATTGACCCAAGCCATTTCTCTCTCCGTATTACCTCTCTCTCTAAAATAGGTTTATTAGATGCATGACCCCCACCTCCTCCTCTCTCTCTCTCTCGCAACAGGTGTAATTGTTTAGAAAAGTGCCTAAAATCACTGTACCATAATTACCAATAAGTGTAATTGTTTAGAAAGGTGCCTAGAATCACTGTACCGTAATTACCAATAAGTGTAATTGTTTAGAAAGGTGCCTAGAATCACTGTACCGTCATTATCATTGATATCTCTCTAAAAAAACTGCATAATATCATTGTACTACCAATGTCATTGATCTCCTCTCTAAACAAAAGTGCATAATATCCCTGTACCACCATTGCCATTGATCTCCTCTTTAAAACGAAGTGAATAAAATCATTGTACCACCATTTCCATTAATTTTTCTCATCGATCTCCCTCTCTAAGAATAAGTGGATAAAATCATGTACCACGATTGCGATTAATTTCTCTCTCTTAAACGTAGATATAAATGTAGATAAACCCTAATCAAGGGAACCAAAAATTGAAATCCCAATCTCTAACAACAATGGAGCCAAACACCAGCTCTTCTTCATATGTTTCTCTCTACACCAACTCTTCTTCATATGTTTCTCTCTACACCAGCTCTTCTTCATGAGTTTGTCTCACAACATTAGCCATGGCCTCAACAAGCGAGGCTTTAGCTAGAGCGTACAAGCAAGTACAGCCCAACAAAACCCACATTCAGGATCTGGGCAAATACCATCTCCACTTACAATAAACAGAGTGGAACGACGTTATGTTTCATCGCTGTGGTCGAAGGGAAGGAACCGGATGTAGCAGGAGCTAATTATAAGTTAGCAATCTAGGTTCTTGAAGATCCATTTGTACGGGCTTGGGGTAATATAGAGAGAGGGGTAGTACGGGGAGAGAGAAGGGGTTTGGGAGAAAAGAGAGAAAAGATGTGTTTAAAAAGGATAGTCATTCTATAATTTGTTTGGGTTAAAAAAATATGATTAAAGAGAGTAAAGTTAATTAGGGGGTTAGAAGATATAAAACCTAGGATTTCTGCGATGCTAGATATATTTTTAATTCTTGGGTGTATGGAGATATGAAACTTAAAAATAAGAGATAAAGATATTTTTCCTTAAAATTATTATGCTATAAAATTATAAGATATGAATTTCTTAAATTTTAAAGTAAATTTAAGTCATTACAAGATCTTTGTTTGAAGAAAAGGATCTCTCTTATTTTAAGATATTGAAAGATTTAAATTTTGGAAACTTACATTGCCAAAAACAAGGGGAAAGATTTGTTAGATAGAGTTTTTTTTCTAATTTATCTTAAATTATAAGTGGAAAAAAAGCAGTTGAAACTCTATTTTTCTTTCCTTTGTCCATGCGTCTGGGACCGATCAGGAATTGTCCGTTCACTCACAACATTTGGATGATCATTTGGAGGACATCAATCATGTTTTCATGAATTATCTATTCACTCACAACATTTGGATGATCATTAGTGAGCCCATGAGTCATAGAGAAATCGTGGACCAACTTGACATGCCGGGTTTACCGAAGTTGGGGTATTTTATGAAAAGCTTTTAGGGTAACCATTCCATGGGAAATATGGAGAGGAAGCGGAATTGCTTTGGTATCTCTAGAGTGGATATACTTGCTAATATGGATTGTCGTGTAAATAAGAATAGAAAGGGAGGACTTTGGAGTCCGCCACTAATGGGATGCATGAAGATTAATTTTGATGGAAGCTTGGTAAGAAATCTGGAACCGGCATGGTTGGGTAGAGTGATAAGGGACCATCTGGGTAATGTTTTTTTATTAGACTTTGGCAACTTTGTTGAACTGATAGCCTTGTATTACCTTTTTTTTTTTGAGATTGTATACTGTGAAATAATTTAATATTGTTACATGATAGTATAACCATTTCTACCCATTAGATGTCAAAATGGATCGTTTGAGGTGTGTTACAAAGTTTGAGATTTTTATTTTTATTTTTATTTTATTTTTTAACTTTTGAGCTTAACCACCCAATTTAAAATCTAATGTATAAGAATGCTTATGGCATCATTGCACTAGAAATAAATGAGATATATATATATATATATATATATATATATATAAGTTTGTCTAAAGTTAACAACTCCTCAAAATACAAAGGCTAAAGTTAGAAGGGGTTGTGATGGATGTAATTATCAAAACAATCATTGCTTTTTTATTAAAAAATTATTTAAATAGGCAACTTTACCATTAAGTAAGGGCAAATGTGATATTTTCACAAAAGTACAATGGTACTTTAGAAGTTAGTGTTCTGGAACTTTATTTGTAGAGTGTCATTATCTTTTAGTTAAAATTTCAATTTTACCCCTTACGGAGATGACAAAAGTACCTTTTGTCTTGTAGTAATATTTACAAAATTGCTCGACAAAAGCAACTGTTTTTTAAAATTAGACTACAAAATTAATAAATCCATCATTCACAACTCTCTTTATCTTGAATTGTTGTAATTTGAAAGGTTGTGAGGTTTAGAATATCCATATATATATATATATATATATAGAAGATACTACAAAACGCTTATAGGCGAAAATGAACAGTGGGTTTACCTACCATCATCACTGTCCAAAGTTCATCGCATGATCATGATGGTCTAGTAGTATTTTTTTATTTTTAATTGATTTTTACAAATCAGAATGACCTGAAATTTGAAGTGTGTGTTCATAAAAAATAGGTGAATCTATGAAAAATATCAAAAAACTATTTTACATGAAAAACATTGATAAAAATACCCACGAAATATTTTAGGGGTGTATTGATCAATATTTGTTTTGCGAATTATTTTTTTTATATTTTTATTTGGTTCGCATTACTAAGTTATATATACGCTTAAAATTTCAGGTCATTCCGATTTATATAAAAAAAATGAAACATTACCGGACAATCCTGACCGTGCAATGAACTTTAGATGGTGATGAAGGTAGGAGAAATCACTATTTATTTTTGCCAATAGGCATTGGGAAGACTTTATATATATATATATATAAGTAACGACACTATGAGACCCTCCCACACCCATGTGAGTAGGACCTCAAAGGATCACCACTAAATTTTGACACATATCTCTAGAAAAGTTATTACATGGGTGTGGACTTGAGTGAATAGGTTTTCCAGAGATCTGTGTAAAAATTTAATGGTGATCCTTTGGGGTTATACTCATATGGGTGTCGGAATGTCTCATAGTATCATTAACATATATATATATATATATATATATATATACACATACACCAACGCCTATAGGCAAAAATGAACAGTGATTTCGCCTACCCTCATCACCATCCAAAGTTCATTGCACCGTTACGATTGTTTGGTAGTGGGCCATTTTGGGGTTTATCATGATTGGGATTGAGTCTCTTTTATGAAACCAGATTGTCGGTATGTTTGTGTTAAGGTTGGGTGGTGTTCTGGTGCGCTTTTCTCGAGGAATATTTTTCTCTATATCAATGCGAGTCTCTTTTCGATTTCAATCACAGATGATACTGGTGAAAGACCTTTGTGATGGTTTGTCAAAGACAGTACTTTGGTTACTTCAGAGCCTGAGCCACAATTGGAAAAATTGACAGAGGTGATGGTAAACACTGCCGCCGGTAACGTTATGCATAACCATCAGTGGAGGAAATTTAAGAGCAACTCTCGTAATTTTTAAAAAGTTGAAACTCCTAAGATCTCCAAGCGGTGGATCCCGGTTGGCCATTTCCCAAATTCAACGGCAGAATTTTCTAGCAGTGTTATCGCCCAAGCGCCGTTTTCTTCGGTGGCTGTTAGCTC